CTGATTCGGGACGCAACCAAAATTGGTTGGTGACCAAATTCGGAGGGGTCAGAACGGATTAATGGTATTTACATTGAACCTTATGGGAAAATTTGATTTGGGTCGCGACCAGAGTTGCGGAACAAATTAAGTTTGTGACCCGAGGTACCACTGTATTTCCATTATTGTACCTCACTTACTACTTTAGAACTGGTCTAATTTGATAAATTGTAACTCACTCTAGGAAAATTGATTCTGAAGGGAAGAATATATATGTTTAATATAAAAGAAAATATATAATTTTATCATATGCCAAAATTAAATTAGGTAGTTATATAAAACCACTGTTCTCAGAATCTCCTGGACAGCATCTTGGGATGGTACCTTCCTCTGGCCCACAATGGCAGAAGAACCTATTAATTCTTTAAAGGGAGGAAGCATGGGGTCCTGCTACTTAAGGCTGATAGATTAAAGTGTCCCCTTATCCCAACTCTAAAACTTAAGAAAATGGAATTATGCAAACTAGCATATAAAGGATGAACTATACAAATTAGTGGTAAGCAGAACACATGATGCCTTTATTGACAATGAGATGGTAAGGAATTAATCTTTGGAATGTTTATGTACCATTCTAATTATGTGGCATTAGTACAATTTAAATAACGACTATCTTTTCCCAAATGAGAAGACTAAATGCTGGTCCCTACAGGATGGGTGAGAGAAGGATAAGCTATGAAAAAAGAAATTCACGATAAAGAAAAAATCCCATATTTTTCGGAGGCTAACATAGGGGTCTTATGACTTACACAGTAACAACTTATAGGCTTTTGGCCTAATGTACTAAGAGCTTTTGCAGAACTTTACAAGTAAAGGCCATAACTGTAAAGAAGTGGTATCTATCTAATGTTTGGTGAATGGATGGATGCTCATGTAACCATTTTTCTAACCAAGGTATTTCACACACTAAAATAATATAGTCCTTAAATGATTTAAATCCAGTATTTTACTATCCAATACTTTCAGAAGGAAGGAAATGAAACTTCTGACATCCAAAATAATCTCTAAAAACTATGCAAGAAATCATTGAAACTTTGCTGAAAAGGTAAGTGATACCTACAAAAGAAATAGACATTTCTGCCTTCTGGGAGCATTGTAATTTCTAGAAAGATTTTTAGAAGATTCAGATTGTGGACTTTCTTGTTCACTTTTAATGTGGTGAACTGTTAACTGGCAGCTCTCCAAAATTTATTTTGCTAAAAATTTGATTCACCAGTAACTCAGAAGAGTACTACAAGAGAACATAGGCTATACAACTTTTCTGGGCTGAAAGCAAACAGCATGTTCAATTTTTTTTTTGCCTTTTTGTTTATATATTTGAAGAGAAATTTTGAGACACAAAACAGCAGTGTGCTACTTAAAGAGAGATCCTATTTACCCAAAATTCTAAGGAAAAAGTCCATATTGTTTTGATTATAGAAGTAGATATGATGAAGAGTACAGTTGCTGTTGTCATAGTATACAATGTTGATGATCTCTAGATCATTGTAAGCTAGGGCTACAACTTCAAGAATTCCTAGTCAACATTATCCAGACTGACTGATATTTTGAAGCTATAATGCCAACACATCCAGGCTTCAGCAAGCTAAGAAAAGATGCACGAGACATTATTGGCAATTTGAAAATCCAGACTGAAAAATTCATATATAAATTGTTAATAATAAACACATTATCCAGAGGGAGCACATTTCACCAATTACCTCTTTTATCTACTACAAAGTCCCCAGGGCAAAACTCATTATTGTCCAAGTGATGGACAGGAAATAGCTCATTGGAACGAATGTTTTTCTCCACCGTGCCATCCTGCCACATCACATCTGCTGATGTCATCGTGGTCACCACTTCGACAGCAACCCTGTTACCAACAAGGATAGAAAGTTACTGAAGAAAATTCTCACAATAAGTCAGGGTAAAGATTAAAAAAAAAAAACATGGCATTTTAAAACATCATAAAGAATTGACTTTAATGCTGGATCTAATACAAAAAGTAGATTTTGAGAGAAAAACCTTTCTGCTGAAAAAGCTGATCAATTGAACATAATGGTAGGGATTAAATGAGCTCCCAGAAGACCACTGATGCAGATTATGCTACAACAGAGCAAAAAGCCTAGCCTTTATTTGGGAAGTTTGTACTACAGAGCCACCATTTTTCTGAAATAATCAATCAATCAATCAATCATCTCATTTCCGTCTCACCCCAGACTAGATGGTGAACAGGAAATATAAAAATTACAAAGCAATAATATCCCCAAAAAACTGATACATGGTGTTTTAATATTCTGTCCTGGTGCTCACAGTCAGCTTAGGCCAAGCCCCAGTAGAATAAGACTCACTTGCTCTCAAAATGCAAGGAGAGTTGGGGTTGCATGTACTTTTGGAGAGAGAGAGAATTCCACAAAACGGGGGTTACTATAGCGAACACTGGTCCATGCTGTCTGTACCTCACAAGGGACAGAGACTGTCAACAGGCTCTCCAGATTTCTAGTCTGGACAGGCAGATTCAAAGCTGATAAGGCATTGCCTGATATATTTTGGTGCTTCAGTGTATAACGCTTTAAAAGAAATTATCAACATTTTGAATTGGGCCAGGCACCAACTGGTCACCAGTGGAGCAACTTTAAAACAGGTGCTACTCCACAGTGACCTGGTCACCCTGCCAGTGGCCTAGTCACTGTATAATGTACCAGATGCAGCTTCCAGGTTCTCTCCAAAGGCAGCTCCATGAAGAGTACAGTGCAGTAGTCTAACCAAGTGGTGATCTGGTCATGAGTTACCATTGCCAAACATTGTGGTCTAGGCAGAGTTATAATTAGTGTACCATCCAAACCTGGGCAGAGTCCCCACAGCTACACTTTCCATCTGCTGCTTGAGTGGAAGCCAAGAGTCCAGGAGGACTCCCAAATTACAGCCCAACTCCTTTGGTGGAGAACAACTGGGTCCTGAGTGACCACTGGTGTTAAGGTACCCCACTGTTTACTGGTGAACAGTAACTCTGTCCTGGAAGGATTTCTTTCCCTCACAGCATCCAGGTTGCAATTCAGGGCTTCCACAGCATTTCCAGCTCAGCCTCTGGTAGTGACATATTCCTGTGTCATCAACATATTGATGACACTTCACTATGAATGACAGATGACTTTTTCTAGCAATTTCATGTAGATGCTGAATGACACAGAAAAGAGTACTAAGCCCTGTAGAACCTTGCACTGGTTCTGAGCACTTCTTCCCCACAGCAATCCCACCAGAAATACTCATTCAGGTAGGAGCAGAACCAGCAGAAAATGGTGCTCCCAACCCTTGCAGTCAGTCCAGAAAGATACCATAATCGATGATATCAAATGCTGCTGAGAAGTCTAACTGTACCAAGTAGTATATATGTCCCCCATTTAGGTCCTAACGAAGATCATTCACAGAATAATCAATGCCATTTCTGTCCCATAACTAATATTGACTGAAAGGATCCAAATAATCCATTTCCTCTAGATTTCTGTAGCTGTTTCCCCACTACCTAACAGATATAAATGCTGCATACATTTTGCCCACAATTAAGAAACTAAAGGAAATATTAAGATGAATTCCTCATGCTCTAATTTTTTTATTCAAAATATGTATTAGTATGATATAATAAATACACATTTTATAATATTATAAGAAGCGTACTATTATTCATCAAACCAAACCACTTCACTAGCTTTCTTCAGCTGCACTTCAGCAGCTTCTATTCTTACCAAACGTCATTCATTGCTCTATTTCTCCAAGGATGAAGAAGAGATTTAAACATTTTAGATTAATCCTGGCCAACTTCTGCAAAAAATCACTTGTTTTGGTTGCTTTGTTGTTCAAAACTTGTACATTTTTTTCATTGTACATGTGCATGAAAATTTGAAAGTGATGAATAAAAGGTAGCCTTCTTTGTGATTGACTCCTGGGGATTTCATGGGCATGTCCTTGTAATTTTCTTGGCAGCAATATGGAGGTGGTTTCCTCATCTAGCATATAACCCTGCAATTTTTTTTTTAGATTTTTTTTTATCCCACCTTTATTATTTTTATAAATAACTCAAGGCAGCGAACATACCTAATACTCCTTCCTCCTCCTGTTTTCCCCACAACAGCAGCCCTGTGAGATGAGTTGGGCTGAAAAAGAGTGACCGGCCCAAAGTCACCCAGCCGGCCTTCATGTCTAAGGTGGGACTAGAACTCACCGTCTCCTGATTTCTAGCCTGGTGCCTTAACCACTAGACCAAACTGACTCTCCTTTTAATTTCCCATGCAAGTATTAATGAATATTGGGTTGTCAGTATTTTCCCCTCTGTGTGATAGTTTTACTTGCTTTTAGCTGTTTTTATATTAACTACTGATTGATTTTTAGATTGAAAGGATGATGCAACTGCATGCACATTACCTCAGATCTTTAACTTTTTTTCCTTTATTTTTAATGACAGCACTGAAGATTGAATTAACATCTTCAGAAATGAAAGCATATGATATATATTACATATGTCCTTGTTTCCTAAGTAATTTCTACAAAACAATTATTCAAGGATAAATGTTAGGGCTACTGGTTCTAAGCAGCAAAGGCTGATTTGGCAAATTGATTTCCAGTAAAGAGTCAGAATCTTCTTTATTTCTTTACTGCCATTGAGTCATCTGATTTTTGCAGCCAAGACATAGTAACTCTGGTAAAAGCTCAACTTAAATGAAGCTTATGTACTACTGGAAGTAATACTGTTTGCATTACAGATACAATATTCATCAAGTCTTTGTTGGCAACCAAAAATCTCTACCTACCCTCCAACCTGCTGGAGAGATAATGTGCAATTTGTTGACCATTCTTTTAATGGGAGACTGCTTCTTTAAAAAAATACAAAAAAATACAAAGATACAATTCAATACCAAGGAAAATCTTTTGTTAGCCATCAAGGCAGAATTGTCCTGCCAGAAACTCACTTGGTTTTCCAAAGAGGTTATTATTTTAATAATTATTAACAGTGGGGTAAGTGTCAATATATTGGGGTTTGATTAGTGCAAAAAGAACACTGAGTCAGCTGATTATTTTTGGAAAAAGCTTTTATGCTTTGCTTAACTCTTTTCTTGCCTAAGGAAGGTATAAATTTTAATTGGATATCTATTTAAGATATATTAAGCTAGATTTTAAATAGATATAGCTTGAAAACTATATCTGTAGTTTGTGGGCAACACAAGTCTTCTTACACTCTCATTAAGAGATATTTTATTATTTATATGTTATTGAATTAAGTACAGAGTTTTAGCAAGAAATCAGAACAGGTAGAACTTAATGATATGTATGGGTGGGATGATATGAGGTCTGATCTTACCTGTCACCTGGTTTAAATTCCCGGGAAACCTTGGTTTTCTTTTTCTTATGTTTCCTCTTGAGGTTTTTAATAGAAAGCGGGATACTTTTTTTGCGTCCTGTACCACTGCCACTTTGAGAAGAAGCTGTGGAGCTGGCAGAAGATGTTACAGAGCTCGTGTCATCTGTGTCATCGGCTGCTTCATCATCAGCATCCTGTTCTATAGACTGCAGATTGTAGTCTGAGGAGCCATCATCCCGTTTCAGTACAAACGGTGGTTGCAACTGCAGGCCAGCTGCTTCACAAGACAAGCTTTTCCTTGTTTCATTAATGTGCTCTCTCTTTACCTCCTGCAAGCTTACAGTATCACTGCCAGAGTCCTCTGCTCCACATTTCAAGTTTGCTTTAAGATGTTCAGATTGTTGATCACCTGCTGCAGCAGATTCTCCTTCGGGGAGATCAAGGGTACTCTGACTGTCTGGGGAACATGACATGATCTTCACTATTTGTTTCTTCAGTAGTCTCCTTACCTACAGAGAATCAGTGCAGGTCAAGAAACACAGTTCAAGATGAATACACACTTGGAGAAAAGTTTCATCAGAGCTAGTCATACTATTTCGTTTAATATTTTGCTAAAAAAGGTGCTATATATTATCCATAGCCTAATGTTTCATCAGAATGCAATTTCTGGAATAAAATTTCCCACCGCTTAAGGAATTGAGCCAATAAAAAAAGATGTGCTGCCTACTTGGGAGCTAAAAATTACTTGCTTACCTAGAACTGTTATCTGTCACCTAAAGCACATGATGCTCATTGCTTAAGGAATCTAAATGACTTTTATTTCTTATTTCTTTACTCCTTGGCACACCTTATTTCTGTACTGTGCTTCTAACTATATCTTTTGCTGCTGCCACAACTGATGAATGTTTATAAATATCAGGTCTCTGCATTACCTACCCAAAGACTTTTAGAAAATACACAAAGAAGAAAAGGTTTTTATAATTTTTTAGTAAGGTTTTATTGTATTATTTTCTATCTGAAAATAATCTACCATTATGGGCAAGTGCATGGAGAATAGTTTAGGGAACTAAACTAGGAACAGTAAAAGAGTAGCTATAATTGATTGACTGGGTGCCTGTTGTATGATTGGATGGAGGGTCCCCTCACTAGGGAAACTGGGGGTTTGGTATTTGGGGGAACTGAAGTGCCTGGGGGGTTTAGGGTGGGTTATACCATTCAGGTGGTGAAGGGGAGACAACATTATGACAGGAGTCAGAGGGTGGGCCGCTCTCAGGGAAGGCGCCCCTGGTGTTTGTTACCAATGGCGTGTTCCAGCCCTCTGGATTCAGACCCAGGCCCTGGACAGCGGACCCATGGAGGCCCTGGTTTTTGGCTGCTGCTTCTCAATGCCAGGTCAGTTAACAAGGCCCCCTTTATATGTGATCTGATCACTGAGGAGCGGGCCGACCTGGCGTGTATCACCGAGCTGGGCCCTGAAGGGAGGGGTGTCCCTTTCGGAAATGTGCCAAGCTGGGTTCATGGTCTAGCATCAGCTGAGATCCCAGGGCAGGGGAGGAGGGGTAGCGGTTGTCATCTGAGAAGCTCTGTTGGCCTTCAGGGGCGCTGCTCCACAAGTGGCCAATTGTGAGACCCTGCTCCTGAAGTTGGGCTCGCAAGAACGGTTAGGATTGTTGTTGCTGTACCAGCCTCCTCCCTGCCTGAGCTGCTGGAGGCTGTTGCGGGGCTGGCGGTGGAGTTCCCTGGACTTATGGTGCCTCAGAGGTGGTTTGGGAGTTCACAGCCACCATGGCGGCAATGGGCCTGTCCCAGATTATTTGTGACCCGACTCTGGACAGTGGTCTCACACTGGACTTGGTTTTTTCAGAGCAGTAGCAATGTGACCTGAAGGAGGAATTACATCTGTCCCACTTGTCATGGTCAGATCATGCCCTGGTGGCCCTGAGGTTCTCCTACGCTATCCCCCTCCACAGGGAGGCGGGACCTATTCAACTGGTCCACCCATGGCAACTGATGGACCCAACTGAGTTCCAAAGGGAGCTGGGGGTTATGCCTGAGGGTCTGCTGCATGGTCCAGTGGAGGCCTCGGTCGCCGCCTGGAATAGGAAAGTGGCCGATACCTTGGACAAGATTGCACCCGTGCCCTAACCCATCGAGCCTGATACTCCCCGCAGTTCATGGAGGAGTTGAGGGTGTTGAAAAGGATTAAGAGATGTCTAGAGCGCCGCTGGAGGAAAACGAGGACCGAACATGACCGAACTAGAGCCGCAATTAAGGCCTACCTTATGGTGGTAAGAGCAGTGAAACGCCAACATTTTCCCGCTCTTATTGCATCTGCAGAATGCTGCCCAGCACCCGTTTAACATCACCCAATCCCTTTTGGGAAAGAGGGGCCCAGTGGCCCATTTACAGGGCTGCGCAGAGGAGTTTTCTGGGCATCTGAAGGATAAAATCGCTCGTATCCAGTCCCAGTTGGATACCAAGCATGCAGCATGGTCTATAGAGATGCTCAGGATATGGACTTACCCTGTTATCTGGGAATGGTTTGATCCTGTTGAACCCGAGGAAGTGGACAGGGTTCTCCGAATGGTCAATGCCACCACTTGCTAACTAGATCCATGTCCCTCCTGGTTGGTTAAGGCTACTTGGGAGGTGACATGTGGGTGGGTCCAGGCAATGGTGAATTCATCCTTGAGGGAGGGAATGTTTCCAATGGCCTTTAAAGAGGCACTGGTGCAGCCCCTCCTCAGGAAGCCATCACTGGATCCCACCATACTGGACAATTTTCATCCAATCTCCAATCTCCCCTTTTTAGGGAAGGTGGTTGAGAAGGTGGTGGAGTTGCAACTCTAGAGGATCCTGGAGGAAACAGATTATCTGGACCCCTTCCAGTCAGGTTTCAGGTCTGCATTCAGGATGGAAACAGCATCGGTCGCACTCATGGATGATCTCTGGCAGGAGCGGGATGGGGGTAGTGCATCCATCCTCGCTCTTCTTGACCTCTCAGAGGCTTTCAATACCATCAACCATGGTATCCTTTTGGGTTGACTTAGGGAGTTGGGAGTGGGCGGCGCAGTTCTGCGCTGGTTTTCTTCCTTCCTCCAAGGTTGATCCCAACGGGTGTTGATTGGGAGCGAGAGATCCACCCCATGGCCCCTCTATTGTGGAGTGCTGCAGGGTTTGGTACTCTCTCTGCTCCTTTTTAACATCTACATGAAACCACTGAATGAGATCATCCGCCACCATGGGATGAGGTATCATCAACATGCAGATGATACCCAGTTATACATCTCCATCCCAGGTGACTTGAGTGATGCCGTAACCACCCTTTTGTGGTGCCTGGAGGCTGTGGGGGTCTGGAGGCTTCAGCTGAACCCTGGTAAGACAAAGTAGCTGTGGATTGGAGGGCCCTCTCTATCCAAGAACCATCTTTGGTTTTGGACAGGGTTGCGCTGCCACAAGCAGACCTGGTGCATAATCTGCGGGTCCTCCTGGACTTGCGACTCCTGCTCAAGGAGCAGGTGGCAGTTGTGGCCAGGAGAGCCTTTGCCCAGCTTCATGTGATGTTCCAGTTATGCCCCTTCTTGGATCAGGAGGCTCTTCGGTCAGTCACTCATGTCCTGGTCATCTCTTGGTTAGACTACTGAAATGGGACTATCTACATGGGGCTACTCTTGAAGAGTATCCGGAAGCTACAGCTGGTTCAAAATGCAGCCATGCTGATATCAGGTGCCCCTAGGAGGGCACATGTAACACCCTTGCTGCGGGAGCTGCACTGGGTGCCAGTCTGCTTTCGGGTCCAATTCAAGGTGTTGGTTATCACCTTTAAAGCCCTACATGGCATGGGTTCAGTTACTTGAAGGACCATCTCATCCCCATTACATCAACCCGTCCCACCTGGTCAGGCAGAGGGCATGTTGCGGACCCCATCAGTGAGAGAATGTCAGCTGGCGGGGCCCAGAAGGAGAGCCTTCTCTGATGTTGCCCCTGCCCTTTGGAATATTCTCCCCCAGAGGTATGGCGGGCCCCTACCCTCCTGGCTTTCCAAAAAGGTTTAAAGACCTGGCTCTGCCAGTGTGCATGGGGTGATATGGGCTCTAACCGTCCCTGAGGGTGCTTAGTGCCCTGACGACGCTCCCTTGAATTATTCGCCAACTCTCCATCTTTCTTAGAAACTATTTATTATTAGGACTGTTTTTATATTGCATTTTAATTAATTTTATCTCTGCTGTAAACTGCCCAGAATTGTTTCAACAAGATGGGCAGTGACAAATTTGAATAATAATAATAATAATAATAATAATAATAATAATAATAATAATAGTAGTAGTAGTAGTAGTAGTAGTAGTAGTAGTAGTAGTCGTCACCAACATTTGGGGCAAAAGCCCCTCTGACAAAACAGGGAAGGGAAGGGAAGGGAAGGGAAGGGAAGGGAAGGGAAGGGAAGGGAAGGGAAGGGAAGGGAAGGGAAGGGGCTGAATCCCTTCCTGTCCATGCAAAAATGGTGTTTTTCATGGGTTACATTTCCATATAGTCCTCCATGAACAGGAGGGGAAAGACTAAAGAACGTATCCCCAACAGCCCTTCTGTGTTTTTTTAAAAAGCATGTTTTTGTGCTCTGAAAGATTACACAAAGGTCTTCAGTGGAATGATTTCACTAACTTCTGTGTATTACTTAATTTTTATCCTGATGCTTTCATGCTTGCTCCAAGACAGAAATAAAGCAATTGTGACCACCATGATTCCTTCTTCTGTTTAGACTCTAAATTATCAGCAAAATTCAAGATTACATACAAACAAAGATAACTATCAAGCTATTCTCTTCTAGGGTAAGCAACATTATGAATTTGGAATGGTTTGAAAAGGAAGTACATCCTAGCAATTTGCACAGGCAATTCCAATATAGCTTCACAGATATGGACATGCAGAAAAAAAGATATTGGGAATTTTTTTTTTTTTTAAAGCAAAATGTTATTCATTGCTTTTGGAATGGCAGCTCTCAGATCAATTTAAGGATTTGGCTTATATGGCTTTTCTTCTCAATTTTAACCCACTGTTCCTTCATAAAGGCCTTTATAGCTCCAGCTCAAATGCTTACGAAAGGATCTACAGGCTTTAGATATATGTTTCTGAAGTACAATTCCCAGCAGACCAGCCAGTATGGCTGGTATGAAAGAATGCTGGGAGTTGCAATTCAGCAATATCTTGAAAACCATAAGTTGCCCACGTACCTGAACTGTGGATACCATGTCATTCACAAAAAACTATCTGAACGGAAAGTGTTCACTTTGACATATGACGTATGTTCACTTTGACATACCTTTGCAATACATCTACATTTCTTTCAAAAAAAGGTCCAACCTCTGCTTTATCCTAGTTGTTTAAGAGACCTTTGATATATTAATGGCTATGAGTCAAATGGCTACTTTGCACATTACTGATACAAGAAATACCCAGAATGTGGCAGTTCAGAATGTGATTAAGCAGGCTCATTTCACTAGCAGCAGTGAAGAACGAAATCAACACAGCAGCAGAGCATCACTTCCAGGAACCTTTGAGCGATGGGGATGAAATCACAAATATACAAAATCAAATGAAATCTTAAACACACACACACACACACACACCCCTCCTTAAGATGCCAGTATAAGGGCAAATAGAAAAAAATGTGAAGAATATACAGGACTCAAGACAAAACCCACCAAATGTAAACTGCTAAACGGAAAGAAGTAGGAAAAATGTAAAGACTTTGGGAAGAAGGAAGTTTTCAGTGTAGGTTTGTTGATATACTTACTTGCATTTATGTATAGTTATGTGCATACACAATGCAAGGGCACATCTCCTTGTTTTTTGTTAGAAAGTTAGGAGAAAGCCAACTTAAACAATTTTCTATCATTAACTGAAAATCTGGCTATTGCAACTAAAAGAAAGTATGTCTAAATCATAAATTGAATACAAAACTTTAACCCTGATTATAAATGCTTACTTATCCTTCAAAGCCAAAAGAGCAAATACAGATTAAACATGCTGCCTTGCAATACTCTTTCAGATGTTACCCATGTTACCCCATGGTGGAAATTTTACTAGTCAATTTTGATACAAAGTCTGATTCACAATATTATCTTCCTGGTGAAAATGAAATGAAATGTAGCCCATCATGTGGTTATGTAGAAAAAGGCTTTTAGATTTCCTCAATGATTAAATGATGGAATAATATAATATGGGGTAGTCTCCAAGCAGAAGAAAATCTGCATTCTAAACTGTAGCCTAGCACAATCTTATTTTATATTTTTTAAAAAAGTTTTCTTCCAGGTAACTGAAGTACTCTCCATCTCCGCAGGAAAATCAAAACAAAGGAGAAAATCCACTATCCGCTCTTAGTGCTAAGTAATTCACCCCTAAATGACGAAACAGGGCAGTGTCTCATCAGAGTGCCAGTGCATCTATCCTCATCACCCCGCCCCCCCTTGGCTATGTCACAGCAGATTGTTTATTTTTGCTTTTATTCTAGGAAACAGACAATGTTGGTGCCAGCCCGGAGTCCTGGCCCAAGGGAAGGAGGGAGAATGTTCTTCTAACACCGCCCCAATCTACCCCCCCCGCAAACAAAAACAGAAAGAATATACAATAGTACAACTGTTCTGTCTCTTTCTATCATAAATGCTGTTAAGGGAGAAATACACTTCTTTTTCCAGACTCAAACAAATAATCTGCTGGCAGGATTATAGGGAAGAGGAGGGCCGTGACAAGGTCCAGTTGTAAAAGTACAACCAATGGGCTTCCCTAACAAACATTATTGTTCAGGTTCTATACCCACCATAAGTATTCTATCTCAAATGTAAGAAAGAATTATTCTGAATAGGTAGTAAATGTCTGCATTAGAAGCATGCATCCTTCTCTTTCCTTAAAGGTCCTGTAAGATACCAACTCTTCACTTACATCATACTGATGTGTGTGATATTGAAACAGAAAATTGCTATAAAGAACAAAATGTAGAGCATGACTCAGTATATTTATATGGTTGAAGCAAGCAAAGGTAGTCTATGACTCAGTGTATTTATACGGTGGATTTGCAAGGACAGAAAATTATGGAGAGACACAATGGATGGCACCAGTGCAAATTACATAGTGTTGTATTTCCTTCTCTTATCTCATGACTTAATCACAAACGCGCACGCACATGCGCACACGCACACACTCTTATACATATATATTATCATAATGTTGCTTACCCTGCAAGGAAATAGCATGATGGGTAGGTATGCAGAAAATTATTAAAAATGGTTAAAATACATAATCTGCTAGCTGCTTTAAAAAGTTGCACTAATAAATTCTCCAGAAATACTGAGATTCATATAGAATGTTACGAATAAATGGCAAAATCTGCTGCTGACTTTTATATCAGAAAATGAGTGTAAAATAACTGGATTTTAGCAAGAAATATATTGAAGATTCAGGTGTTTTCAGACAGAGAACAAGTGTATATTACAGTACCTTTTCAGGCTTTACGTTGGATACGAAACAAGGACAGGCCACCTGCAATATTAAACACCATAATTTTGGTATTACTGTTGAATGCAAAGGATTGTAACAGAGGTAAAATACATTTAGAAAAATATTCCACAGTTTTGGAAACATTTTATTCACATTTTCATTTGTATTGTAACCCCTAAAAAAGACTAAGAAATAGATTTTAAAGTTATGTTTTTCTTGGAAGAATATGCTGGTTTGAAAGAAAAAAAATATTATACTCTAACTTGAAACCACTGAGGCACACTGCTTTACCTGCAATCCTTGTACAGATGGTCAGCCATGTTTTGAAGCCTGACAAGGTCTTCCACATTTTATTTTTTTCGACCTCTAAGCAAGCATGGGAAGATTTAGCCTTAGCTAAGAAATGTGAAATATACTTTAATTTATACTTATGATCTCAAAATGAAATTCACCAGACAATATTATTTTGTGTTTATTGGACTCCTCAAAGATTGTTTAAAAGGGAAAAGACGCTGGATTTCTTATGCTGACACTCTAAGAAATTTGAATATTCTTTAACTCACACAATTTGGTCTTCTCTAGCTACAGCCTTGCTTTGGTTTCAGATTACTACATAGGTCAATACAATTTGGGGAAGAAATAATGTATTTAAGGATCTCAATATGCTGTTGAACTATATTCCTGAAAAGTGGAATTTCTTATCTCATCAAGCCTGGGGCATGGCAAAGAAGATAATTTTACATCACTGGAAAGAAAGTTACTCTCCTGATTTTAAGGAATGTTTCCAAGATATGAGCTTGCTAATTCTTTTTTAAAAGACTGTGTGTTCTAAAAATAAGATGGCATAATATGCTTATTTTTATTTATTTATTTATCATATTTATATAGCTGCCCATCTCACACAAGGTGACTCT